TCCCCGCCCTAACTCTCCCTGGTTTGTCCCCCCTTCCCCATTACCTCTCCTCCTCTATCTCTCTTGCAGAAATAAAGCTGGTCATTTAAAACAAGAAGGGGGAAACAAGCTGCTTGGCATCCTGTCTTCCTTTCCCACCAGCTGCTGTTACCATGGTAACCCACAGGCATCTGCATGTTTGTGTCTCAGCTGTGTCTCCCTGGCGCTCTGGGTATGTGGCCAGTCTTTCCCCTGCCCTGGGAGGCTCCAGAAAGCCACACCCGGGGCTCCCTGTTTGTCCCTAAATGCCCCAGCCAGCACCCCATCCTTGCTGCTTTCTCTGTGCCTTACACTCAAGAGGCAGGAAAGGCTGTTCCAAACAGCTGCCCCCTAACCGGTGACAGCCTTCATTCATCCATCCCCAGATGTGTACAGCTGGCCTGCTGAGTGGGGGAACGGTGCCAAATAGAAATCTGCTGGCTCCGAAATGGACGAAGAGGACACTTCCCTTCTACCAGTGGGGAAACTGAGGCCCAGAAAGAGGAGGACACTACCAGATCCGATCGACGGCAGCCATGCCTGTCTCAGAACCTGGTGGTCTGAACCCAGGTGAGTACCACGCTTTCATTCCCATTGGCCTTTGCCATTAGCCAGCCACACGCAGGCCCACGCTTTCCATCTGCAAGGGCAATGGCACCTTGGAGCCATCGGTGACGGGCAGAGCTGGCCAGTCTTCACAAGGCTCCATCTCCAGCTGCAGCTGGCAGGGTTAGTTAGTGCCCTGACCTCCTTGGGAATGTCCTGGCACGGCCAAGGCAGGCCTTCCCCGCTGTGGCCCGTCCACTGCAGCAGACTTCCAGGTGTGCGTGGAACCTCTCCTGCACACCTGGCTCTATACCATGGGCACAGCTGGAGCAGTTGTGGCCACAGCCAGCTCTGCTCCACTTACCTGTCAGCTCCATCTGTGAACTGACGTCACCCGAGCTGTACGCGATTCCCCCCGACGGGCTCTGCTCATGAAAATGCACACGCCATCCTTCTTTCTGGCACCATAGAGAACTGTGCTCGGCAGTACAGATGCAGCCCGCTCTGGAAAGGGAGGGCATCCACGGAGTCTAAAAATGAATGTGCAGTGAAACATCAGCACCGGCTCCCCATTAGGTGACTGGTTTCAGGGGCAGATGGCTACTCAAGGGCTCTAATCACTTTATAAGGAATCCTTAAAAGCGAGCACCCCTTGCTGAGTGCTCCCCCTTCAAGGAAGGGTGGGCAAATAGTAAGTGAAGGCCTCCAAGGGTCAGGGAGCCAGTGCGGGAATCCACGTCGTTGTCATGCTCACAACTCAGTGAGCACTCTCTGTGTGCCAGGTGCCTGACCAGCCTTCCTGCTCCTAGCTTTCCGTCACACATGCTTCCAGCCGAGGCACCTGTTCTGCCTTCTCTGCTGCCCTGCTCCTTGGGGGCACCCGCTTTCAATTCCCTCCGCTGCTCCATTACACATTCATGTCCACAGGGACATGCTTGGTTTCGGGCACCGTCTATTCACTTTCTGCTATGGCACGTGGCTCTCTTTTACCACCTCCCACACTGTCCCCCAGCCCTCGGCCACCGTACACACTTCCTGCCTTCATCCTCTCTACATGGCTTGTTCATCGTCTTGTTTAGAGCAGCAGCCAGTTTTGCGTTATTATGATTATGTGGAGGCAAAACCAAGCCGAGCCACGCAGTGCGTTTTGTTTTCCTGGGCGTGGCGGCCACAGAAACGCACTGTCCGATCTCTTGCTGAGGGAGTTTGCTTTAGGCGCTGCCCCTCTGGGCCCATTGCCACGTTCGCTCCAGGCCACATTCCTACAGCCCAGGAACTGAGCACAGGCTTGCTCTTGCAAAACTCAAAGCTCTTCCAATGTGCATCATTGGCTGGAGAACTTTCCATCCTTCCAGACGCCCCTTTGAGGGAACTGCACCAGAGACCAGATTCTCTGGTCAGCCCTGCATGCGGTCTGAGGGCTGAGGGCTCTCCTGACTCCTCTTCACCCTTTGTCATTCACGGCGTCGCCCCGTCAATCTCTTGAACATCTCATTCCATGTCTGTGTCCTTCTCCTCAAACCTGGACTGTCAGCCACTGTTTCTCACCCACACCCTTTGTCTAGATCTTTCATGTGCTCATCGCTGATTCAACCCTGGACTGTCCTGGTATGTCACTCTCTCCTGATGTGTCCCAACACACCAGGTGATCGATCGCTTTCATCACGAAGTAGCCCCTCCTGGAGTCTCTCTCGTGCCCACAGCTGGACTGACCTCCCTCCACCTCTTGGGGTGTCCCTTCACCTGTCCCTTTACCAGGATCCCGGGGATCCCACTCCCCTCTCCCTTTTGTTCGCCCCCCTCCCCCAGTCTGCATGCCCTGCTCTCCCATGACTTACCCCCTCCTGTGGTGCTCCACATTCTGCAGAAGCTTCCCAAGGACGGGTGCAAGGGCCGCACACTGTACGACTGTCTTTAGTCCAGCCTCGCAGTACGATGAGGGTCTGGCCAGGCTCACCATTCTGGGTGGGGCTCCTTCTGGAAGGCTTCACTCCACGGTCCCCTCACATCCAGTGCGGGCGTTCGGAAGTCTGAAGTCACTGCAATTCCTCGTTCTCCATGTGACATTGGTCCCCCTCTGAAAGCCTGCCAGATTCCTCCTCGACCACCGCTTTCTACAACCTCCCGCCCCGTGCCTTAGTGTGGGCAGGTCTATTTCCTCCATTGGCTTGGGCCTCAGTGGGTCTCTAAAGGTAAGAAATTCCGTTCCTTCAAACCTAGGAAAAGAACCTGGATTTTTAATTTTTTTTTATGGATGACTTCCTCCTGTCTGTTTCCTTTTCCTTCTTTGCAACTGTTTTTGTCTAGATATCGGACCTCCTAAACCAGTCCTCACATTTCTTACCATTGAACCTACTCTGCTTTCTAGATTTTTCACTTTTACCATGCTACCCCAGAATGGAATCTTTATTTCTGCAATCATATCTTTTAATTTCTGAGAGTTCCCTCTCGGTCTTGGAATGGTCCTTTCGACAGCATTTTCTTCTGTTTAAAGCATTCTTCACCACAAGAGAAGATGTTAATGATACTAATTGTTAAGGCCAGGGAGGATAATTTATTTGAAGTTTACTTGTCTCTGATAGCTTCTGTTTCTTCTAAGTGACTTTGGTTCATTTGTTTTGATAGCTTTTATATAGTAAGCATGTCTTCAGATTTTCTTGGCTGATTGGTAGTATTTACAAGTAGTCATTAAAAAGCTAACTGGAAGTCCAGCTAAGGTAGTGGGTGAATTCTTGATGGTGCTCATACTGGGTAATCCGGCTGGGCATTTTCCTTAGAGGATCCCAGATTTTAGTATATGTGGTTCTTTCCTATCAGGCTGGTTAAATTTCCCAGACAGACTCCTGATATCCTTCTGGATGCCAGTGGAGGAAGATAACCATTGTTTTCAATCGTGTTAGCAGAACCATACCCAGCCTATTTCCAGACATATTGTATTTATGACCCCCTCCTCTATAGGAAAAATTATTTTCAGTAATAATCATGTAAAGGGTCCAATTTCTCTACATCCTTGCCAACACTTAATATTTTCTGTTGGTTTTCTTTTTTTTTTTTTTACAACAGCCATCCTAACGTATGTAAGGTACACCAACTTTTAATCAGTTTTATCATTTTTGTGAGGTTCTCTACAGATGATGTGTGTCCTTGCCCATACCCAAGGCAGACCCTTCTACTGCCTGTTCTTATACTTGGCTGACTTCGAGCACGTAGCGTTCTCCAGCAAATCCACCCATCTTCCAACACAGCACCCTGGACATCCTAAACCCAGAGCCCCACATTTAACCTCCCCAGAGAATAAGGCTGGAATGGGACAGGGGCATGCCCAGTGAGGCGGCAGGAGGAAGCTGGAGATCTAACCACTTTTTGAACTTTCAACCAATTCTCCTGTTTCTAGCCCCAAATCGCCCCTACTTCCAGCACACCACTTCCGGTCTTTGGGGGTTCTGCCATGTCATCTGTTGTTTCCCAGGTCCAGATGGCTCAGGATTTCATGCCTCTGGGCTGCTCAGCCATTTCCTCTCACCCACCTTCTTTCCAGCTCAACATTCCAGTTCTCGAATGTGCTGTCTCCTCTCCTTCCTTCTTTGGCCTCGAGAGGCTAAGGCTTCTTAAAAACCCCTTTGCTGTGATTTTGATGAGATTTCAGAAGGGAGCAAAGCCGAACCCATCTGTCCCATCTGCCATTGTTAACTAGCCTTTATTAGGCCTTACTAGGCATTATTTAATTTAAATTTTACTAGTAAAGATGAGGAAACAGACTCACAGCCAAAGAACAGTAAGAAAGAAGACAGGGATTCAAAACCGAGTCAGGACTCCGTCCCCTGTGCCTTACTGTCTGGGATCCACAGCTGAGAGGGAGTTCTGGCAGCCAAGCCATGCCCTGAAGGTCATGGGCATATGGCTGCATGAAGGATGAGGCCAGACGGGCCAGCTGGGATCAAAACAGCCAGATGAGGGCTCGCGGCAGTCAGGGTCCAGAGCCCAGGACTTCGGGGAGAAAAATACCATGATCATGTGTTCAATTGCTTAGAGTCGAGGCTTTTTGGCTCCTGCTACCATCCAGTAGCGGTCGCCCGGGGCTGTAATGATTTCAGTGGCCAAGAAGGAGACCCACAGCTTCACACCCTGTCCTGTGCAGACAGTGCCGAAAGCCATTGCACCCCAGGTAACAGAGGCCCCCATACAGCCACAACTTCCTCGGCTCTGCCCTTGCCCATCTCCCACTGAATGTATTGGCCTAACTCTGCCTTGTGGGAGGAGAGGACTCCTCTCTGCTTCTCTCTGACCTCCACTCACTGAGCCCACTAGGCCTACCCTTTCAGGGTCCCTCGGGCTCTGCTAAGAATTTTTCCTGTTTGCACACGCATGTATTCACCACTGCTCTACACTCAGTTACCTCTTTTTTTTTTTTTGTTTCTAATTCCCAGGTTCCTTCACTTGCTCAGCAAATACTTGCACACCTATTATGTGCTGAGTCCTAAGGGAACCCCAGGGATGCTGCCCACAGGAGCTGACAGTCCCTGGAAGAGAGGCAGGTAAACAGACAGTCTCCGGGCAGTGTGGTCCGAGCTGGGATGGAAGGGAAGGGGGAATCTGGAAGTCCAGGAAGCACGTCTAATGCAGAAAAAGAGGTTGTTGAAAGCCCTCCCCACGAGGAAGCATGTGAACTGAATCATAAAGGGGGAGCAAGAGTTTGATTCCACTGATCAGTGCTCGGCACTGAGGACTGAGGGCCATGAAGTTTGAATGTGCTTATTCATCCATTGATCCAAATTAACATCTAGGAGCCCCCACCGTATGCCGGTCCCCACATAAGCGCTGGTGAGTCTCCGTCATGTCACTTCCGCCCGGGGATCCTCGCTTGTGCTCTTGGGCCTCTGAAACTGCCCCACCGAGAACTCACTTGCTTTTGCTTTCTGAGGCCAGCCTCAGACCCTGATGAGGTTTCCATCTGCACCCCCTCACTCCACTCCCAAATCCTGTGACTCTCCCGGACCCATCCAGATGATCTGTGTGTAACAACACCACAACTCGACTTCCATAAAATCACTGGGAAGTCCCCCCTTCCCCCACTGAGTGTGGAAGGTTTCACAAGGCCACACAGAAGATGCTCTGATGAAATAGGTGAGATTGTGCAGAATTCACCGTTGATGACAGCCATGCCAGGAACAGATAATCCTGGAGGAAGCCTCAGAGCTGACTTGGATCTCTGCCCACAGAGAGGGGATCCAGAATTCAGCATGACCTTGAACAGAACTCCAACCTGCTCCGGGACTGAGCACCGACTCTGCATAATTAATCGGAAGTGCTGTCCTTATGAGTGACAGTCTGGCCGCGATTAATTGTCTTAATGTTTGCTCGGGGTTCTGAGGGCATGCAAAGTGATTAAGGAGGGGTTTGGAAACACGGACTTGTTTGTTCCTGTCCCTTAATTGTTTGCCAAATGATACGCGGTAATTACATGGAACATCTCCATGCCTCTCCAGGTAATCCATGCAGAATTTAGAAGCAAAACTGAAATTCCTTAGGCACAGACACAGTAGGGGTGAGGAGTGGGCTGAGAAATTCCAGAAGGCATCACTCATGTGACCGGCCAATCCAGAGCCCCCGCCTCATGTCCTGTCCCCATTCGTAGACTAAGGTGAGAAGGGCTCCCACGGGGCTCTGGAGCTGGACTGTCTGACCGCAGGTTATCCACGGGTGGCTAAGCTGGTGGCATGTGACAGGAGGTGGAGCAGTGAGTTAACTTCATCCCACTGGAGAACGAGGTTCTAAACCTGGTGTTGCCATATTGTCTCTGAGTGTTGGAAAAGAACCGGAGACGGACAGGGTCCAACTGAGCCACCATGGGTCTCATGGACCCAGGTGTTCTGACCCATTCCCCAGGCCCCACAGCTGTGGAAGCCCAGGCTAAGGTGCACAAAGAGGGGGATTGAGTCCTGGACCAGCTCTTCTCTTCTGATAGGCAGGTGAAGCCACACCACAGCCAGCCCATCTCCACAGGGCTCACAAGAGGTCAATTGGTTGGGGTGGGCAGAAACAGAGAACATCTTAGATGCTTAGACACTGGGGCTCCCCAATCCCCAGAAACCCCCCTTCCCAATTCCAGTGTTCTTTACTCATCAGACCATGGACAGCGACAGTTATTTCTGGTTGCAGAAAACCGAAATCATGGTATAGATAAACCACATCTTCTTGATCCACTCATCTGTTGATGGACACTTAGGCTCTTTCCATGTTTTAGCTATTGTGGAGAGTGCTGCTATGAACATTGGGGTATGAGAAAGAATGAAACCTGGCCATGTGTAGCAACATGGATGGACCTTGAGGGTGTTATGCTGAGCGAAATAAGTCAGGCAGAGAAGGACAAATATCATATGTTTGCACGTATAGGAGGATTAGGAGGAACTTGACGGAAGAACAAGGGGGAGAAGAAGGGCGGAAATGGTGGGGGAAAGGGAGAGAGGCAAACCATGAGAGACTCTTGAATGCTGACAAAAACTGAGGACTGATGGATGTGGGGGGGAGGGGGGATGGGCATGGAGGAGGACACTTGTGGGGATGAGCACTGAGTGTTATGTGGAAACTAATTTGACAATAAACTATTTGTAAAAAAAAAAACAAAAAAAACCCAAAAGAAATGTAAATTAAAAATAAATAAATAAATAAATAAATAAATAAATAAAAGAAAATTAAAAAAAAAGAAAACCGAAATCAAAGGCTCAGAGATACTAGATGTGAGACGGTCTGCAAGGTCATGGGGTCCAGGCTGTCTGCTTGCACATGAGGACTCTGAGGCCCAGGGACAGGGGTTGGGGTACTGGCATCCAGCTTGGATCAGCCACTTGGGACCAGCAGACCTGGCTGCTCCTGCTGCATGCCACGCCTGGGTATCTGTCCGTTGGCCTGGACCCAGGTTCCCTGAAGGCGGGAGCTTCACTTCACTCATCTGTATCCCCAGGAGCCAGCAGAGGCCGACCACAGAGGAGGGGCTCAGTGGACACAGTCTTGACTTCTGCCAATGCAAACCCCTCCCTGCCGCTGCCTGAGTATATCCCCATAGGCCCAGCCGTGGTCAATCAGCCTATGCTTAGAGCTGGCATCCTCATGCTTCTGTGTGCTATCATGGCTTTTCCCCAGCTATGTAAGTTGTCTCCACAATAAAACTGGGAATTATGATTTCACAGTCTCTGAATCCTTAATAATATCTGTCACAGATGGATAGGTTATCCATGTGAAACGCTGGGGGTGGAGAAAAAGAAGAGGAGAGGAGAGGCGAGGCAAGGCAAGAAGAGAAGACAGAAGAGAGGAAAGGAAGGGAGACAGAGGAAAGGGAGGGAAGGGGAGGGGAGGGAAGGGAAGGGAGAAGGAAAGGGAGAGGAGGGGAGTGGAGGAGGGGAAGGGAAGGGAGTAGGGGAGGGGAGGAGGGGAAGGGAAGGGAGGAGGGGAGGGAAGGAAGGGAGGGGAAACAGAGGGGAGGGAAGGAGGTGGAGGAGGGAAGGGGAGGGAAGGGGAAGGAAGGGAAAGGGAGGGAAGGGGAGGAGAAGAAAAGGGAGGGAGGGAATTGGGGGAAAGGGAAGGGAGGGGGGAGGGGAGGGGAAGGAGAGGGAAAAGGAAGGAAGGGGAGGAGAAGGAAAGGGAGGGGAGAGGAGTGGAGGAAGGGAAGGGAAAGGAGGAGGGGAGGGGAGGGAAGGGGATGGAGGATGGAAGAGGAGGGGAGGGGGAGGGGAGAGGAGGGAAGGGAAGGGAAGGGAGGGGGAGGGAAGGGAAAGCAGAGATAGAGAAGGAAACAGCTGGAGGCACAGAAACTTAGCGACACAGATGCCAGGAAGAAAGCAAGAACACTCTGTGTCACTCAGTCATCACTACAATTCAATGGCCCCACAAGCAAAGGAGGGGCCCTCAGAGCAGGCGGGCTCAGCGGCCTGAATCCAGACTGTGCCTTATGTAGTCTGAGCAGAAGGTGAGAGTAAACACCATGACTCACTGTTGCTTTACAATCAGCTCCCCCACCCCTAGCCCCCAAATGCCGGACGATTATTGATTCTATTCATCTTCCCTCCGGCGCGTGCTCTGGGCAACACCTCCGCGTCCACACATTAGTCACCAGCTGTCACTGACTCTGTGGAGGGACACGCTGCTACGTCACATTTCACAGCAGGCAGCTTCGTATTGGGCTTGCCGAAGCATCCATGTGCGTCACAGCCCGGGGGCCCGGGCTCTCCTGGGGACAGGCTACTTTGTGGACACGTGTACAAGCCAACCAGCCAAAGGGCAGTGAAGTCGGAGAGACAGGCCTCCCCTCACCCTCGGGAGAGCCCTGCCCGGAGGGCTGAATAAGACTCTCTGGCTCCGAAGAGGAAGTGTGGTTTGCAAGGGCGCTATCTGATCATACCTGGGTACCACCGAAACCACCGCGGCTCCGCCCACCTCGCCAGCTGGGCACCGAGGTCTGGTCATCCATGCTCCAGACTTGCCTTCTAACCCCCGTCCTTCGCTCCAGCTCCACCAGGCTGCTCAGCTAAGCACCATGTGGCCCTTTCAAACCTCTAACTTTGCCTCTGTGCCTCTCTACCTTTCCCTGCCCGTCAGCTGGGGACCCCCGGTCATCTTTCAGGGTCGCAGGCCGAGTCACCCATCACTTCCTCTGCACCCTGGAGGTGAGCCTTGTGTGTCCCTCCACTAGCTCCTGTATCAGATGATGGGCTTACTCCCTCCATTAAGCCGTGAGTCCTGAGGATGGAGAGCCTGTGTGATGGGCACTGATGGCCCAGTATTTCCCCACTCCATCGCCCCACTGCAGAGCAGAATGAAAATTGAGGAACTGATCCTGGTGTGAGGGTGACCATGTAGTAGTCCAAGCTCTTGAAGTAACCTCATCCTTATCAATGGTGATTGTCAAGCACGCAGGGCTGAGCCAGTCAGTGCGTGGCATTTCAGTTGAGTTGGTTGCTGGGTCAGGTGCAGGTGTGAGATCTGGTCCAGCCAGAGGAAGCCAAGAGCTTTGCCTGTAGAGTGGTGAAAAAGATTTCTCTCTCTCTCTCCCTCTCTCTGTCTCTTCCTCCCTCCTACTTCCTCCCACTGGCCATGAATGAAGAAGAACATTGGTCCAATGGTTCCTTGACCACGAGGAAAACCAGCCTCCATGCAGATCTAGCCTTGAGCATGCCAGAAGAGAGAGATGGGACATCTCTATGTCCCAGTGACACCTCGGACCCTTTGGATCCTCCATCCATGTTCTGGTTTCCATGTCTGCCAGCACAGCATTTCTCTTCTGTGCGAGCCAGTCTGGGTTGGGCCCTCTGTCTCTTACATGTGAAATCCCTGCACCGATACCATAGCACCTCTGTATCCCAGTGGCCAGCACCTTTCAGGAAACATGATAGCTGCTCAGAAATGGAAGTGTCAGCACTGGGTGTTCAAGTCCCATCTGATAAAGGAATGTAATGTGTGAGGACGAAGACAGAAATCAGCTGAGTATGGGGGGGTCCCTCACCCACCAGGTTGGGATAGACCAAGGGCAGGTAATATCAATGATCACACACAGCTGTAACGGGGGAGCCGGCAGGCACCCTGGGTCTCCCTGGCTCCACCCCCCGTCCCCCACTCTTCTCTCCCATCCATCCTGCCTGGTGGCACAGACCCCATGGGGGGCATTCTTAGGTCACACCGTGTACTCCATACTCAAGGTGTTTTATCAGGAACTGCTTTAAAGGTGCATTTTCACAGTGGCCTAGAAAATATTATTTCATATCTTCTTTGTGCATCAGCATTACATAAAAATATAAAATTCTGTTTTCTTAACGAAACCACCAGTCATATCTCTCCATGGCCTCCACTGATCATTATCAATATGTCAGCATTGTTTTTATGTTTTTGTAATCAATATCTCTTCCCGCTTCGTACAGTTTTTCACTTAACTCCTTCAGTGACCACCAGGTCTCTCATCGTCGGCATAATCATTACATTGATCACGTTAAATGACTGCATCCCCTTCTACCACGGGGGGTAGCTGGGCTCTGCAGCCTCCGATGGCTGGGTGTGTGGATGGCCTCTGAGTTTTCACTGGAATAATCCAACTGTATTGATTGAATAGCTACTCAGGATGCTAACTGGACAGTACTTTTTTTTTTTTTTAAGTAACTGCCAGAAGGTAGAAAGAGAAACGGTGATCCTGGGTCCCTACAACCCATTGGCTTCAATCAGGGTGCATTTATTTGCAAGGGCTGAAACTGTTTAGTGTAGTGACAGAGGAGAACATTTGGGGACCTAGAGACAATCAGCCACGGGGAGAAGCTAGGGATGATCTTTATCTTTTTTTCTGTTCTATGTCTCTCTCTCTCTCTCTCTCTCCCCCCACCCCCTTCTTCTCTTCTCCTCCCCTTCTCCTCTCTCTGCCTATCTGTCTTTGTCTATCTCTCTCTTCTCTCTGTCTGCCTATCTCCTTCTGTATCTGTCTCTGTTTCTCTCTGTCTCTGTTTCTCTCTGTCTCTGCTTGTCTCTTGACAAGTCTCCACTACCAATGGGTCCCAAATCCACACCGTACTTCTGGTTCAGTGCCCATCATTAGTTGCCTCTGGGCTGAAATTCCCAGGGCACTTGAGCTCATGTGTGACCAGATGGGGGATGTCAGAGGGTGTCATGTATTGCAACCCTACCTACTGACTTCTGTCTCATCAATCAGGACAAAAGTCAGGGCATGTCCTTCAAAAGCAGGTCTCCCAGATTTGAACTTGGGTCCAGCACCCAATGTTCTCTGACTCTGGGTAAATGGTGCCTTCATAGTGAGCTTCCTGTCACAGGATATATTCAAGCTGGAAAATGTGGACTCCTCACTGTACTTAGCTGACACTAATCAAGCATTTACTTTATGCCAAGCATTGTATAAGCACTTTATAGAAGTTAACTTGTGAGACTTCACAACCTCCTAAGATGAGGAAACTGAGACACAAAAGGTCAAGTCCATCTCCGGACCAGACAGCCAGCGATCAGTTGTCAGGGAAATGCACATCACAAGGAACTAGCACTCTGCATCCGTCAGAGCAGCAAAAAGAAAACATTGGTTTCTGCAAGCGCGAGCCCGGATGTGAGCCAAGTGGGGTCTCATGCAGTGCAGATGCCCGTGGACTTGGAGGAGCCTTTCAGCCAGAGGGTGCCTGTGCTGGGTATGTTTGTACTTAACGACCAGCAGCTCCCCCTTCAGGCTCAGGCCCCCGAGAAGTTCTCACCACTGCCCCGAGGAGACAAATTCAAAGACATTCATCGAACGGTAATTTACATAGTGCTTCGTTCACACAGCAGCAAACACGGGAAGGAGCCTAGGCCTCCACCAGCAGGGGTGTGGGTGTGGGTGTGGGTGTGGATAGGGATGTGTACACAACCAGATAGCTGTCAGCTTGCTTTCTAACCCAAACGTGGAGTGGAAAACGTGAAGCAAGTGGAAGATAATCTATTACCCATTTTATAAATGATGCGCACATATTCCCCAAATGATGCGGTACATTTCCTGGAGACACCCAGGTAAGGACATGTCCGGAGGACACATCGCCATTTGCGAGCGGGTGTGTGTGGGGGGGGGACAAGTGGATCAGGAATAACAGATAAGAGAGAAACAAACATGGAGATGGAAGAAACAAAACCAGAACCCCCCCCTTTGCCAACCCCACTTTCCAAGCCGCTGGGGATGGTGCGGGGTCGGGGCAGCGCCCTGCCTCCTTCCAACCCCTCTGAAGGAGGCAACTCCAGACCTCTGCTGGGCTTGGGTCCCGCACCCCAATATCCCTCTGCTTTTACCCATTGGCAATCTTTAACAAGCACTAAAAATCTAGTTGGTATTTCGGAAGGGTGGAAGGAGCATATTTTGCACATTTTATTTCTCCCCAGGTCTGGTGGGGATCGAAGTTTGAGGGGGAAATGAGACCAGTGGAAGAAGCATCTTTAGAAGGTTTCAGGCTGCTCACACCCAGGGGACCTCTAACACTCCGCAGAGCACTGCTTTTCACACGCACCCAGTTCTCCTCCCCAGGATGGAAGCGGGGACCCCTCACTGTGTCAGTAGGGAGAGTACTGGTCCCGCCCCACCGCGGGCTGGCACAAACTAAGGTTCTGATGGGGACTGTGGTGAGCTGAATGGTGGCCCCCTCCCTCAGAACACAGGGGGTGGCCGTGATGCCACCTGA